ACAAAGGATAGCAAAAATTGGGAATGAAAACAGAGCATGTTGGAAAATCTCAGAAGTTTGGGCGATATATGGACAGAAAGAAGTAGAGTTAATGTTTGTCAGGTATGTCAATTTTCATCAGGACTAGGAAACGTAATAGGTTTTGAGTAAGTATTGGGTTAGACTAGTACAAAAAGGTGGTCCGTGACAAGGGAGAAGACAGGAAAGATTAAATTACAGAAAAGCTCCTCCCTCAAGGCTACAGGCAATGGAGGTTGGGGCTGGAAAAGAAACAAAGTAACAAAAGATGTGCCTGGATGAGGTGTGCAGCTCACAAAGAAACAAACTGAAACAAGAGAAATGAAGACAAAATAGGGGGTCAGAGTTCACAGTCTGAAAATATTGGTCTCAATAGGGAGTCCAGAAAGTTTTAAAATGCTGAATTGAAAAAAAATGAGGCACTTTCTTGAACCTTACTTTAGCATCACTGGAAGTGTGCAGTGAGTGGAGATCAGAAACGTCAGTGTGAGAGCAAGGTGGAGAATTAGAAATGTAAAATCCCCGGCCACAGCAGGTTGTGGATAGTGATAGCCAATTGAACATTTTAAAATGGAGATGTTAAGAGCTTAACAAAGGTAAAGGTATACTAAGTAAGGGTCAGTACTGATTGAACTGAATGTGGAGGAGACTTAAGGGACTGAATGGCCTCCTTCTAACTGAAATGCTAAGCAGTCTCAGAGGGGTTGAATGACCTACTCCAGTTGATCTGTACATGGTTTCCAAACTTCTCCCGCTCTAATACTTTGCCCAGGGTCTGGTTTCCTGTTGCTGCGTTTTGACCCCAGCTCTTCCATGCCTTTCTGTTCATCAGTTGTATTTGGGTCCAGGTTTATTTGGAATATAGGAACAGGAAGGGACCACTGATTCACTCAGATCTCTTCTATCAGAATCAGAATTAGCTTTATTGTCCCATGTACTCAAATGAATACAATGAAATACTAAATAAAAGCCAAAAGAACTGCAGATGCTGTAAATCAGAAACAAAAAAACAGAAGTTGCCAGAAAGGCTCAGCAAGTCTGGCAATATCTGTGAAGAGAAATCAGAGTTAATGTTTTGGGTCCGGCGACCCTTAAGTGTATAAGTCGTCACTTACAGCACCATCTTAAGTACAAAGGTCCCCAAGTATAGCTTTTTCAGTTACAGTTCTTTAGAAGAATAGAGGTTAAAAAACAGTCCAGCACTGCAGATTTTAGGAATAAATTATAAAAAGGAGAATAAAAAAAGTTCAGAACAGTCTTCCGATGCAGTCCATGCTGGCATTCAGCCTCCAGTCTGCACCGGGCCTTGACTCCGGACAACACCTAGCTTCAACTTAGGGTTCACAAGACCAGGAGAATGCTCTGGAATCACCTCAAGACAGAAGTCCATGCCAAAGCCATGCTGGGCCAGTAGACTGCATTAACAGGCCGAGAGGATGCCTTGTCGGGTCTGTGCTGAGGCTGAGATTTCCGAGGCTGTGGGTCGGAGGCCACAAGATCCAAGGCCGGGAGGTTGAAGCTGGGAGTTCGGAAGCCACGAGGCCCGATGCCTGGAAAGAGAAGAGGATGATTTAAAAAAAAAAAAAAAAAAAATACAGAAGGATGATTAATTGAGGGTCGTATCTCATCTGTGACTCAACTCCATTTACCCTTCAATTGTTTTAATACTGGCTCTCCCAGTCTGTTTCAATCGGATTTAAAGAGACCTTTCATTTATGTCACACCTTCAGTTAGGCAATTGTCCCAAGATATACCTCAGAAACATAAATTTACAAATCTGATCAATTAAATGATGTATCAAAGGGGATCTTGGGAGGCCTGACAAAATCTGGTTGAAGATGTGGGTTTTTAGGAGGTTTTGAAAAGTCCATCTCCCTGTTCCCACGGAGCAAGAAGGGTGTTCTCAGCGCTGCTGGATTTCTGACATTTGGCCTCTTTGCCAATTTTCAGAACAATAAAACATTCTGTGAATGAAGGATCAAACCACAATGTCAGTCCTGTCACCTATCAATCATCTGAACCCAGATCACAATTACAGCAAGAGTAAAAACAAAATAAGAGTAACAGTGAAATTATCAAGAAATGCACAATCATACTGTTTAGTTTAATGTTTGCTAACTAATGGAAAATCCCAAAACAAAGGTTTACCCCCAGGATTCTTATTATATCATTGCAGTGTTGGTTCAAACTTCGAGAAAGAGCTGAAGTCCAGAGTGAGGTGAGAGTGCCTGACATTGACAAAAGACTGCATTCAGCCAAGTGTAATATCAAGGAGCAATATTCGAATCAATGAGAATCAGTGAATAAACCCTTCTTTGTTTAGGGTCATAGAGGTGCACAGCACGGAAACAGACTCTTTGGTCCAACTTGTCCATGCTGACTCGATAGCCTAAATTAATCTAGTTCCTTTTGTCAACATTTTGCCCATATACCTCTAATCCTTCCTATCCATGTACCCAGCCAGATTCCTCTTAAGTGTTGTAATTATACCGGCCTCCACCATTTCCTCTGGCAGCTCATTCCATACACGCACCACATTCACACATTTTCTGTGTGAAAATGTTGTCCCTTAGGTCCCTTTTACCTCTTTCCCCCCTCACTTAAAACCTATGCCTTCTAGTTTTGGAATCCCCCATCCTGGGGAAATGACTTCGGTTTTCACCTTGCCCCTCATGATTTTATAAACCTCTATAAAAAGGTCATTCCTCAGTCTCCAACAGTTCATGAAAATATCCCCAGCCTATTCAGCCTCTCCCAATAGCTCAAACCCTCCAACCCCAGTAACATCTTTGTAAATCTTTTCTGCACTCTTTCAAGTTTAACAGCATCCTTCCTAAAGCAAGGAGATCAGAAGCGAACGCAGTATTCCAAAAGTGGCCAAACCAATGTCCCGGACAGCCACAACAAAACACCCGATTACTACACGTAATGCACTGACTAATAAAGATAAGCATACTAAATGCCTTTTTCACCACCCTGTCTACCTGCAACTCCACTTTCAAGGAACTATGAACTTGCACTCCAAGTTCTTTGTTCAGCCACACTCCCGAGGACCTTACCATTAGGTGTATAAGTCCTGCACTGATTTGCCTTTCTAAAATGCAGCACCTGACATTTATCTAAATTAAACTCATTGATCACTCCACAGCCCATCAGCCCATCAGATCAAGATCCCGTTGTACTCTGAGGTAACTTTATTCACTGTCCCCGTGACCTCCCACCCCATTTTGGTGTCATCTGCAAAATACTAACTATACTTCTTATATTCACATCCAAATCGTTTATGTAAATAACAAAAATCAGCAAACCCATCAATGATCCTTGCAGCATTCAGCTGGTCAAAGGCCTGCTGTCCAAAGAGCAACCCTACACCACCACCCTCTATCTCCTACCTTCAAGCCAATTTTGTATCCAAAATGGTTAACTTCCCCCAACATTCCATGTCATCTAACCTTGTTAACCAGTCTACTGTACAGAACCTTGTCAAAAGTCTTGCTAAACCCCATATATACAACATCCACCGCTCTGCCTTCATTAATCTTCTTTGTCACTTCTTCAAAAAACTCAATCAAGTTTGTGAGACACGATTTCCCACAAATAGCCATGTTGACCAGCCGTAATCTATCCTTGTCTTTCCAAATACA